TCATTTATTGAGTGTTACGCCCGTACTAGATTTATTTTTAACCAAATAACAACAAATTTAACAGAACACTGAACAAAATCACTGCGTTGACAGCAAGGCGCATCCATATGCACCTTGGTTGACAGTAGACGACAGTGACAGTTTGATGATAACAGAAGTTGCCGTATTAATAAAATTTAACAACCATTCGAGAAACAGCTGTTTGTTCTCATGATTCAATAATACAAGGTTCGATAAACTGACAGTTGTCTCTCTCGCACCGCTCCCTTAGCAGTGGCACCGTGTTGCTTCTTTGCAAATTTACATGGAAACAGTGTAGCTTTGGTGTTAAATAAAGGTATAAGCTTTTGTGCAATATGTTTATTTGTATATGCATATGAAGCATATTTAACTGATGAAAACATAAGCATTGGATATTTACATCAGTCTAATAGTAGTCTTATTTTAATTTTGAGTCATTTTGCAGTTTTTATACGTCTAAATAGCATATAAATTACGTAATTCACGTAGATATATCAATATTACGTTCAACATTTCGTTTAAAATGCTAGATTTCCTGCAAATACATTAGAATTTACGAAAGGAATTTCACTTCTAATTGACTACTTTGCGTACTTTTCTACTACCATTTTCGAAACAAGGGATTGCATTCTTGCCCTTTCTCTGTCCTTCGTAAATGCAACCTTTTGTAAGGGAGTGTCAAACCGCAGCTGTCAATAATTATCTAACCTTGTATTATTGAATCATGGTTTGTTCTGTTATTGTTTAAGCAAGTTGAAAGCTGAATAAGCTTATTGTACGCAAATTTCCCCACAATTGATTAAAGATATCTGTAAGATATTTTCTTAGAACAAAATATGGCGATAGTTATAAAATAAAATACACATATGTTGGTACGGCTCTGGGCATAATTTAAGGCCGCGGTGGCTACGCATGAAATTTGTAGGGTGCACTTAATGATTAATTTTTTTGTTATTTCGCTATTCGAAAACAAATTTATGATAATGCATTTCCGAATGTTTGTTTTTAGTTATCCGATTTTTTTTATGATTCATTCGATGTATGATGATGCAGACAGAAATATGATAAACGGCACCCTCCTCGCATTAGAAATCGTTTTCGTCTTAAAAGTGTAATATATGTACATACTTCTTTATATACATACTTCCCTATAAGAAATCTTACTGGCAAATGACCGGTCACCTGACGGTCAGTGTTGATGCAGTAATGCTGCTATTTCCTCATCAGAAATTCGGGGGTAATATGAAAAACTTGACCAGTTCTTTTATGTACACGTGACTATGCGTCACCTTCTCACATGGAGATATTACCAGCAGTGCTAAAGGGTCTCTTTTCTACTTATTTTCATTTCCTAAAGTTGTTTTTACAAATGTTTTTCTGTGTATTGGTGTATATTTTAGTGTGCTAGTGAAGAAGTCCCCCGTAGCGAATGCCATGCATTAGTCACTTAAGAGTCTTGTACGGAAAAGTTACGTCTTAAATTACTTTGGGCTCCGTTTGTATGGAAGTCGTTCATGACTTTTTCATATAAATGGTAATTTCGTCGTTGATGTCGTCATTTCGACGTTTTTTTTTTAGCTCAATGGCGTTTTGACGATTTTTTCCCCATAATGACGATTTTTTTATTGTAGTTTTTCCACCTAATTACATATGTCTGTATGTAAAACATTTTTTCGTAATGCAAAATACAACCATGCATTTATCTAGTTTTGTTCTATAACCGTGCTTTAAGTTATATTAAATTTGTTCTAGAATTGTAACCAAATAGTTAATTTGCACTGTTGACACTGATTTGAAAGAGACAGAAAAATAGCAGTCAAGACTATAGTTGCCAACTTGGTGCTTTAAGCACTAGATTCAGTGCTTTTTGAAAATTAAAATGCCAAAAAAAATTATTTAGTGCCTAGTGCCTTTTTAGTGCTTTTTTTCTGAACTAAAATTACTTCGAGATAGTGATAACCTGAAATAATTTGCAATATTTAAAGCTGTATTAGCACTGAATTTACAAGAATCTACAAATTTAAATGGACTAAAATACAACCATAATTGATAAAAAGCTGAAGTTGCAAACCCACCTTGTTAAATTCTATTCGCGTTGAAAATGCTAGTACGCAGGTAAGTTAAGTATTTCTTTTTTTCTTTTCTAATTATTTTTACAAATTTTGTTTTTTTTTACCACATGAGTAAAACATATCGTTTCTTGGTGCTGAATCCAAATCTGGCCTTACAATTGCTCTAGCACTAGAATTTAGAGATATCCTAACCTCAAAGTGCCAAAAACACGGTTTTTAGCGATATTTTAGGTTATATAATGAAAACATAAATTTTTTTGTCCATTTCTAATTAGGGCATCATTTTCGTTTGTTGCGATTCGATTTTCCTTTCTCGAGATATACCAGTTTTAATGTGCAGTACTTCGGTATTATGTTATGAAAAAAGCATCCCTTGATTCAAAAAACTTTGGTGCTTTTACTGTGGTAAAACGCTTTTTTCCAAGTTTTTGGTGCCTTTTGAAAATCAAAAGATGGCAACAGTGGTCAAGATTATCTATCAGTTAATAAATGCTAATGTAATGGGCTGTTTTTGCTTACGCGTAAAAGCACATTTAGCGCATTTAGCCCTAAATGCTACTCTAAATGTACATTTATCCATACAAAATTCGTCACCTAAATGCAACTAAATGCAACTCCATTTTTGAATTTAGAATCTAAATGCTAAAAGCAACCCTGTGATCTTCCAAAATTTCCACGATTCGAACATGGTTTAATGAGAAGAAGTGGCAACATTGCTTTTTCGAGTATACAGTCGCTAGCTGCGTTTCAGTGATCGCCGATCGAGATTTCATTTATTATTTTACATTATTTGGATAAAGAAAAGTTACGCAAATTAAACATCGATGTGATGCTGATAGAAATCTGGATTAATTTGTGATCAACTCTGTTTGTTTTGTTTCCTAATTAAGTGTGGAAATTATAATTGACAGCACCGACAAATGAATATATACACAAACAAACGTTTGGTTATGGTTAAAACAATTCAAGTTTTTGTATTGAATTTTCGGTTTAGAATTTATTTTTTCCTTTTCAGTAGGGATTTTTGGACATTATCTTTTCCGTGAGAATTTATCGTAATAGATACGGATCTGAATAAGCGACTGGAACACGGCTGTTTGTCAAAAGCATACTATTTCGAACTCGCGTAAATGTACATTTGCTAAATGCGGTAGCATGAACGCTCTTCGAAAACATATGTTCGAAAGTGCTAAATGTTGCATTTTAAATGCAGCAAAAACGCTGTATTACACTTTAAAACTGTATCAAAATATTCAAAAGCTTCAAGCCAGTGGAGTTGAACGAAAAGTAGTTGTGTTTTAAAGTGTAATTTAAAACTGTCGTTAACAATTACAAAGCCACTTTTATGAACCCATATGCAATGTGGGTTCCCTTTGGTTTTAAAATGTGTGGTCATATTTATTTTATATAATTTATGTAATTTTGAGTTTATTTTTTATTTTATTAAAGATTAATTCGCCATACTAAATTTTGAGAGCGAATTACCTCATTTGGTTGGTAATTCAGATCCAAGTACCACGCGAGTTACGAACAAATCGGTGCCGTTTCTAATTTTTATCGGAAATTTATCGAATTTCTTCTGAGTACGAAAAGTTAATACGGAAACTTATAAATTTTTAGGAAGAACCTACATTTTGTAGCGAAGAAAAACAAAAAGAAAACACAGAGACAGAGAACTGTCATATGGAATTAAGAATGTTCCCATGGGAATGGGGTAATTCGCGATCGTAATTGGGTAAGCGAACAAAGTAATTCAGGATGCCGTGGGAAAATGGTATTATTACATCGTATAAAAACTGCAAAATGACTCAAAATTAAAATAAGACTACTATTAGACTGATGTAAATATCCAATGCTTATGTTTTCATCAGTTAAATATGCTTCATATGCATATACAAATAAACATATTGCACAAAAGCTTATACCTTTATTTAACACCAAAGCTACACTGTTTCCATGTAAATTTGCAAAGAAGCAACACGGTGCCACTGCTAAGGGAGCGGTGCGAGAGAGACAACTGTCAGTTTATCGAACCTTGTATTATTGAATCATGATCAGTTAATAAATGCTAACGTTCCACTTTATCAAAATATTCAAAAGCTTCAAACCAGTGGAGTTGAACAAAAAGTAGTTGTGTTTTAAAGTGTAATTTAAAACTGTCGTTAACAATTACAAAGCCACTTTTATGAACCCATATGCAATGTGGGTTCCCTTTGGTTTTAAAATGTGTGGTCATATTTATTGTATATAATTTATGTAATTTTGTTTCTATTTTTTATTTTATTAAAGATTAATTCGCCATACTAAATTCTGAGAGCGAATTACCTCATTTGGTTGGTAATTCAGATCCAAGTACCATGCGAGTTACAAACAAATCGGTGCCGTTTCTAATTTGTATCGGAAATTTATCGAAACTAGCTCACAAATCAAAACTTGCATTTTTTCTGAGTACGAAAAGTTAATACGGAAACTTATAAATTTTTAGGAAGAACCTACATTTTGCAGCGAAGAAAAACAAAAAGAAAACACAGAGACAGAGAACTGTCGAATGGAATTAAGAATGTTCCCATGGGAATGGGGTAATTCGCGATCGTAATTGGGGGAGCGAACAAAGTAATTCAGGATGGCGTGGGAAAATGGTATTATTACATAAGATTTAATCGAAACATTCATCTAAGCGTGTGAACTTACGAAACTCAAAAAGTTAACAGTTTACGAAACGAGTAAAGAATACCTCCCGTTTAGCATTAACAGTTTCAAAATGGAGCTGGGTTGAGCTTTTTGTGCTGACTGCAACTGTGTTAAAGCATAAACAGACGGCAGCGTTGATCCGGATTATCTCGGAGTTAGTCCGGATCAACTGCAGTTAATTTCCGAGTTGA